TAGAAGATAATAGTAAGTAACTAGTATAAAACTTAGGGCTAGACTAACTCTTTAACTTTATAGAGTAACACTATTTATACTTCTAAAGAAATCTGCTATTAATATAGAGCAGTGTAAAGACAAAGTAAGGGAGAAAGCTTTCTCTATAATAGTAAATAGGGACAGGTTAGCTATAGTTTAAATAGTAATAATAAGAAAAATAAAAAGAGGATATAGAAAGTTATATAAACTTATTATATATAGGTATAGTCTGCTAAGTAACACTTAAATTAGTAAATTAGCTTTTAATTATCTGCCTTAGTTTATTTATTATAGTTTATAAAATAAATAAAGAATATTAATAAATAGATATAAGTTAAAAGACAAGTTATAATAGTTAAGAAAGAAATACTACTATATAACTATATTACTATTAATTATAGACTTATAATATATAGTTAAAGATAAGAAGATTATAATCTAGGCTTTTTGAGTATTGCAAGTAATATTTAAAGTTAATTAATAATTATTAAACTATTATATTTTAATCCTCTAGTTTAGAGGTTAGTATAAAATAATCCTACTAGAGCTTTATCTAATATAGTTATTATATTATACAAAGAATAATATTTAAAGAAGTAACTTTAAGGTTATCTTATATTCTTTAAAATCTATATAGATCTAGATATTAATACTCTTATAAAACTAGTAATATTCTAATAAAGATATTACAAAAGAAGTTAGACTAAGTTATAGGTAAATAAAACAGTTTAATATACTATTTAGGAAGTATATAGGTTTATTTAGATAGGTAAATAATATATAAGATTAAGTAATTATATAGTTAGTATATAGTTACTAAAAATACTTACTAGTAACTACGTATTAACTACCTCTACTTCTAGACTAGTTCTTCTACTAGTTCTCTAAGCCTACTAGCATATTAGAGTTAGCAGACAGGTAGTAATACTTAAAAATAAAAGAGTTATATTTTATTATATAGGAAGAAGCGTATTATTAGCTTCTATATAGCTACCTAATTTTTACTGCTAGCTAATACAGAATATATAACTAGTATTACCTTCTATTTCTTTTTCTTTAGCTTAAGCTGGCAGAAAAAGGTAGTTAATATATAGTTACTAGAAATACTTACTAGTAACTACGCATTAACTACCTCTACTTCTAGACTAGTTAGTTCTCTAAGTCTACTAGTAAGCGTAGTTAGTGCGTAGTTACTAGAAACACTTACTAGTAACTATATATTAACTACCTCTACTTCTAGACTAGTTAGTCCCCTAAGTCTACTAGTAGGCGTAGTTAGTATATAGTTACTAGAAACACTTACTAGTAACTATGTATTAACTACCTCTACTTCTAGACTAGTTCTTCTACTAGTTCTCTAAGCCTACTAGTAGGCGTAGTTAGTGTATAGTTACTAGAAATACTTACTAGTAACTATATATTAACTACCTCTACTTTTAGACTAGTTCTCCTACTAGTCCTCTAAGCCTGCTAGTAGGTATAGTTAGTGCATAGTTACTAGAAACACTTACTAGTAACTATATATTAACTATCTCTACTTCTAGACTAGTTAGTTTCCTAAGCCTACTAGTAGGTATAGTTAGTA